CCGATCTTTGATGTGTCGAGGTAAAAAATTTGAGTCAAACCGATTTTTCTAATCGAGTGATCAATCGGAGAAGAAGATCGAACTATTCAAGTTTATTTGATTAAATTCTTTTCTCTAAAAAAAAAAGCTTGAGTTTTTGTACTGGAGCTTGAATTCAAGTCCAGATTGAAAATTTTCATTATTAAATAAAAATAAAGAAAGCTCTATTAAGCTTACAAACTATTTGAATTGAACATTAAGATATTCTAATTTAGTTTCCTCGATTCAAAGTTGTTTGAGTTTTACTTGATGATGATCAAATCGTTGTTGGAAATCTAACTGTTGCAACAAGACAAAATATTAATACTCATTAAAAAAATTAAAAGGTACCGTTTTTAACGGTGGGTATCAAATTAAAACATAAACTAAGTATTAGGGATTAAACATGTAATTTACCCTATTGTTTTTCCTTTTGATATGAATAAAGCCCAAAGACCGAATAAACCTCGTGATTTCCTAGGACCTTAAACGCTTATATTAATTTACCGTCTACAAACTACGTTCGCTCCACGAAAAAAATTCCCCAAACCCTAACGTAATTAGGGTTTTCTCACTTGCAGTCGCCATTTTCGGAATCAAAAGGAATAAGCTTCAGCTTCAGAATCGGACGAAATGGTTAAAGGACGCCAAGGAGAGCGAGTCAGGTACCCTTCTGATTTGGTCTCTTCATTTTCTCTTTCAAAACCCTTATTTTTTTTCTAGTTTATGTTTTGATATATAGAATATAGTTTTCAGATTTAACTTAATCTTTTCATTTTTCATTTGTTCTTTTTAATTGCAGACTCTATGTAAGAGGAACCATCTTGGGTTACAAGAGGTAGTAAGAATTATACCTTTTTATTGCATTTATTTTATTTTATTTTATTTTTTGTTCTGTTGTATTTGAACTGTTCCCCCTTTTTTTTTTGGCGAATTAGTGAATTTTTTAGGTAGTCTTTGGGAGCTTGGGTTTAAAAAGTAATGTAATTAAGTGATACGACATAAAAAAACGTAGTATTCAATATTCGTGATTATTTCTCAAATCCATGAATTTGTTTGGATGCTTATGTAGTAGGGAATTCGAAATTCCGAAGGAATTTATGAATTCAACGAATTCGTTTTTCTTGTTCTTTTTGAAATGTATAGTATTTTGCAGCCCGGCTAATTTATAGTAATTTGAATATTTAGTTATATGTGAGTTATTTTAGCTCAGTTAATGTGCTAAAGAAAATGAAATTGAATGTATATAACAAAGGAGGTCCTCTCCTGGGATAGGGGAAGGGTTGTAGTTTTCTGGATTCGAATTCTGGACTTGTTGGATGCCATTTTTGAAGGATGGTTGTGTGAATTACTTGAGCAGTTGAGCCTAGCGGCAGGTTTTGGAGTTTTCATTTATTGATTCATCTTTAGAAAATGAGTAAAGGAAACAAGAATTTAGTTACACTGATCTGCAAAAGTTGGATTTTTGTTGGCTGTAGAGTCATACTAGTAACTTGTTTTTATGAACTGGAATTACAGTTTGGGAAACAAAGGGGACAAAAAGTAATTGCTTTTGTTAACTAAAATGAGGGTTAGGGTTTTCTTTTATTTTTTTTAATTGAGTGGAGAAACTTGAAAATGAATTTTGGAGCTGGTTTTCTTTGTTTTGTATCGTTGCTTAAATTTGTATTTGGTGGTTTCCAGGTCAAAGTCGAACCAGTATCCTAACACTTCATTGATCCAGATCGAGGGAGTTAACACTAAGGAGGAAGTATCTTGGTATGCCGGCAAGCGGATGGCATATATTTACAAAGCTAAGGTGAAGAAGAATGGCTCACACTATCGCTGCATTTGGGGAAAGTTTACTTGACCTCATGGTAATAGCGGTGTCTTTCGTGCTAAGTTCAAGTCTAATCTTCCCTCCAAATCAATGGTAAGTTTGGTATATGTGTTCATATTCAATGGCTTATTTTCTGTACATTGTACTTTTGATCTTAAAATATCTTTTGTTTCCTTTGCAGGGAGATAGAGTCCATGTCTTCATGTACCCCAGCAATATATGAGGTAATGTGACTTCCAGTTTATGATCTTTCTTATTTGTTCTGTGGGTTCGTGAGGGTTTGCTGTTCTTATCTGTTTGATTCCAGTTTGTTCATTCATATCTGAGGAACCTTTATCATGTTTAATGATTCAACTTTATTTGAAGATTAGCTTCTTGATGGACTAGTTGATTTTTGCATTTTGATTGATGGATTAATTCATTGTTCCATCCTTGTCTGTATTTATGACAATTTTTAGTTTTCGTCACTGTTTTTAGCCCTGTGGCCATGTTCGATTCATATGTTCTTGTTTCGATTACAAACTCCATGTGATTATTCATTGTGAGACCCTACATTGATGTCATGCAGTTTGATTTTATTTAGATTGTAGTTTACCCCATTATTGTTGCACTTATACTAAGATGTTTTTTCAAACAAGAGTCTATCATGTGAAAACATAAGAGAACAATTCATGACATTATTCTCTTCGAGCGATACAATTATGTTGTTTGTTCATCCTCTCGTAAGTTCACAATTCTTTCCTTGCAGTCAGACTGTGTTCAATCAAGGACAGGAGTGATTCCATCTTTATAAACTTGGTCAAGTTTATAGTGGATGAGACTGTAGTGTTTATATATTTTTCATTACCAAGATTTTTCAGTAATTTGTTGTTTGTACTTTGAAGTTTTTGGCATCATTTATGGAGCTATATAGCATGATTGGTATACTGTTCTTTCAACTTTAATCTTAAATTACTTCACGCATCGGACATAATAAAAACAGGACCAGTTGAATCCTGAATCGATGGCCATTGTTTGAGGCGTATCTATGAATCGAAGAACATTGAGATAATAAAAATCGGCTCGATTTATGGTCTGATTTTATGAGCATTTGTTATTGCTTCCAAAATATATAAAGAAAACCATAAATCTTGCGGCTCATGTAGTTTATGTAAGATGATAATTTGAGCTGAATTTTATGGATTTTGACAGGGTCAGATAATGTCAACTTAAAATGTGATAAAATATATAATATTTTCGGTGATCACAATCTAAAATGTTAATTTTCTAAACATTTCTAGTTGAACCGATAATGTTACAACAATAAAAAATGTTATAAAAAAATTAACGTTTTATGTTGTGTTTTATTTGTTTTTCTTTTTGAGTAAGTTATACCAAAGGTAAACTAGATTCTTTTTATAGAAAATTCTCAATTGTTTAAAATTGTACGATTATATTTCCAATAATCGCGGTGTTCAAATCTAAAATTTTAAGGAATAATAATAATATTTTTATTACCGAGGTTGTTTGATTTATTCGATTCTTTAGTTATTAAACTTTTAAAAATTATTATTAAATCATTATAAAATAATCACCAAATTTCATATGATTATTATAAAAATAACGCTTTTAATAATTTTTAATAATTGTTTTAATATTATAATGATAATTCTATAACAACTTTAATAATTATTTTAAACTTTTAGAAGTTCAGTGATAAATATTTTGTAATTCTATTATTAGCTCAGGATAACAGGGATGCACGTGGGTAAATCTTAATAAATATCAGACTTGGTCTCTTTAAGCCAACTTCATGGCAAGAAACAATTTTATTTTATTTAATTAAGGGTGATTATAAAATAATATTTATTTTTAATATTTTTAATTATTTTATTATAATTTTGATATTTAAATTTGTGACTTTTAAAAATGACAGCGATTACTTTCATAACTGAAGTAGATTTATTTGTACATAAGAACTTTATTTTAATGAATGAGTAATTAAGATGTATGATGGTAGATTTTAACAAATTAAAGTTGTTTTATTGTCAATGTATGAAATATTATTTTATGATTTATTTAATATAATAAATACATAAAAATTAAAAAAAGGAACCGACTTTTTAAGAAAATTCTCAAACGTGTACCATACATTTCCCACTATTAACATTGACTTGTCAATCGAACCCAAACCAAACCAAACCAAATAAAATAAAATAATAAATTAATCAAAACCCAAATAAAATAACAGGTCAAATTATATCATTAGTTCTTATATTTTGTAAAAAAATTGGATTTAGTCTCTATTATTCAATTTGATAAAATTTTAGTCTTTATGCTTTTTAGAGGTTTTAAACTTAATCCTAAACCGAAGAACATAGAAACAATACGACTAAACTATATTGATTCAAGATAATTATAGGAACTAAATGCAGATCAAATATTTTTACTAGTCTTTATGCAATGCATAAATTGTGGATATTACAATTTGATCATTTTGAATATTTATACTTTAAATTTTGAAATTTTAATTCTGATCAAACAATAGTTATGTAATTTATTAAAATAAAATTGTGATTGATCTTTGTATTAGACGTAAATGATAGGTTTAGTTATATTTAATCAGTTTAAGGTATTGTAATTTACTCATATAATCCATGCATTGTTTAAGAAGTAAAATTTAAAAATAAAGGAACTGAAATCGATCAAATTAGAATACAAATTAAATGTAGAATATATGCAGAGTTCAAGGTAGAAAGATAAATTTGACATTAAATATATTAATAACATAAGGAATTAAAAAATAATTAAATTAACTAATTAAAAAACAAAAGAAAAATCCGAGCTCGTTTACTTCATCTATTTTAAAATTAGCATCTTACCGTTTTCTCAGAGGAATTTGCAGAGGCAGCCATAGTTATTTCCATTTTACATGGCATTGTAGCTTTACTTCTTCTTCATTTATTTTAAGTTATTTTGTTTTTCATTTTTCCTTCTCTTTCGAATTCTTTGCTTTTGTAATGAGAAACTTGAATCAGATCCATGGAATCTAATTCCATCAAATCATCTCTAAAAACCCAATTTACCACACCAAAACACCCATAATCCCCCAAATTCCACTCAGATCCACCTTTTTATAGCTCCCAGATTCCAGTTTCCCAAATTAAGATACCCAGGTTCTCAAAACCTCACAAAAAACCATGAAAAACCAATCGAAATTGTTCACGATCGGGCTAGTATCAGCCTGGTATACATCCAACATAAGTGTACTGTTGTTAAACAAGTATTTACTAAGCAATTACGGCTTCAAGTACCCAATCTTCTTAACCATGTGTCACATGACGGCTTGCTCTTTGTTGAGCTACGTAGCGATTGTCTGGATGAAGATGGTTCCAATGCAAACGATTCGATCTAGGGTTCAGTTCTTTAAGATCTCGACTTTGAGTTTAGTGTTCTGTGTGTCGGTGGTGTTTGGGAACATTTCTTTGAGGTATTTGCCGGTTAGTTTTAATCAGGCCGTCGGTGCTACGACGCCGTTTTTCACGGCGGTCTTCGCTTACTTGATGACATTGAAGAGGGAAGCTTGGCTTACTTATATTACTCTTGTTCCTGTTGTTACAGGGGTTATCATTGCCAGTGGGGTATGCATTTTTTTCTTTCTTTTTCTTTTTACTTAAATCAATTAGTTTGCTTTCTTTTTTGAAATGGGTTAGCTTTATTTAATCAGTTTGGGAATTGGTTTCGCTTCATTTTGTTGGAATTTATGTTGCTTTGTATGCTTTTGTCGTAAATTATAGCCTTCTTAGAGGATTTCTTGAAGATTTGATTGGAATTTGGCTTTGCTTCATTCTGTTCAAAACTGGGTTACTTTTGCTATCAACGTGTGGCTATGACCTCCCACAATGTTCAGAATACATGAAAAAACTCGAAAAAAGCTAACCATACCATGTTCTGAATCATTCCTACATCCGCTCACACCCGAGTCTAACATAGAGTGGAAAGGACTAATTTGTTTGCTTAATTTGGATGTGTTTCGTAATGGTCTTGATTTGTGGATGATTAAGTCTTTAAGTCTGTTAGGAAAACCTTGTTTATGGTTCATCAATGGTTCTTTGTATTTACTATTTCCTCATTTGCTCATGCATTTCGCATATCATATGTTTTGAATATAGCATTAAGACGCGTAGTCTGAAATTCTATGATACTCGGACTCAAGTCTAAGTGCTGGACACATCCGTGTACGAAAAAGGGATTTTTCGTTTTTTAAAGGTTTTCATGTATTTGGGCAGATTGAGTGTTGGACATTGGTGCTTCTATGAAATGAAGAAGCGGAGCAATATAGCTGCATTATACCCCTTTATTTGATTTGAAAACCTTCAATGCTCCTCTTTATCTTTTATAATTTTCAATCATGTTTTGCGTTATTCACATTGTTCCATTTCATTTTCTTAATCCGGTTTCTGATTCTTATTTTACATTATTTGTTCAATGGCTATAGGGTGAACCGAGTTTCCATCTGTTTGGGTTTATCATGTGCATTTCAGCTACAGCTGCACGAGCTCTCAAGTCAGTTTTACAAGGAATTTTGCTTTCGTCCGAAGGGTGAGGAGATTTTATGCTTTGCTTATATATATATATATATATATATATATTCTTTAGATCGAAGACTAGAACCCGAACCTGAAAAGTATTGTAATTTTATTTTAGAGAGAAGCTGAATTCCATGAACCTCCTTCTCTACATGGCCCCTATAGCTGTCGTTTTTCTACTTCCGGCGACACTCATCATGGAGGAGAATGTGGTCGGTATCACCCTTGCTCTTGCCCGTAATGATGTAAAGATCATTTGGTATCTACTATTCAATTCAGCACTAGCATATTTTGTGAATTTGACCAACTTCTTGGTCACAAAACACACCAGCGCCCTAACTTTGCAGGTACGTCGTGCATCGGCTTTTTATGAGTGTATTGCATTTATTTCGCATCTTTTCTTTGAAATTTGAAGGTGGATTCTATAAATCTTTTATTCGATATGGAATTACATAAACACAAATGCATTTTGTTCAATCATTCAAACAAGAAAGTAATTGTGAAGGTTTTGATTGTCGGACTCGTAAAATCACAAATAGCACCCATCTTTAAGTTGTTTATTTAACCAAAGTAGTTCTATGCGTGTTGCTTCTTTATGAAGTTATCATAGGAATGACCGATGTATGGTACGGGTATTGAGTCATTTGTTCTTGCAGGTTCTAGGAAATGCAAAAGGAGCTGTAGCTGTGGTGGTTTCAATTTTAATTTTCAGAAATCCAGTCTCTGTTACCGGAATGCTCGGCTATACACTCACAGTTTTTGGGGTTGTACTCTACAGCGAAGCCAAGAAACGAAGCAAATGAGACGTCGTCTACATGTAAGATTGTCATATTATGATTTCCTTTAGTGCAAGGACATCTATAATGTTTTAGAGGCCGCACGTCATATGCCGCAGTTCCAACCCATAGATAGTCTTTTTCCCTTGGAAGTCTGGGAAACTGATTTTTTTTTTCTTTTGTATTGGCAATAGCTTTGGAATTTTAGTTAAAAAGAAAAAAGAAAAAAAGGAATTACCATTTATGTTCTTCATTCTCATGAAAAAAGTTGTAGAATTGATCTGTATACAGTTGATCTATTGTTTACTTTTCCAATATTTGATTAATTAATGGCAAAGAAAACTCAAAGTTACACTTCTATTGTTTAGTTTGTGATTAGTCTTTGAATGCACGAAATTATGCATATATGATGATCATGGCGATAAGAATCAATGATTTGCACCATCCTTTACATTCCACAAAGTGTGAAACTATTGTTTGATGTTTTTACTCATGCCAAAGGTTGCATGTATACATGTTAAGCATGACATCATTAAACATGTGATGACCATGCCATCGTGATGAACATGCAATTTTAAAATGATAAGAATTCATAATTTCCATACCGTCCCATTCATGCGTTCAGAAACTATCAAAACACTATTGTTGGTATTTGCTCATCTAAACATGTTATATCATTAAGCATGGCATCATTAAACCGACCATTTACTGTAAAATCTTCACATTCTAAAATCTTAAAGACTGACGGGAGACTTACACAAGTGTATTTATTTACAAGTCTACGTCTTAGCTAATATGAAGCTTAGTTTCATCGATTTCTATTATACCTCTTTTGGCAAGGCTCTGACTTCATCTCCAACTTTGGCTCGGTTTAATCATCAATTTCAATTTTCTCCAGCTTCGGTTCTGTCTCTACCTTTAGTTCACTCTGCTCTTTAGGTTTGTTACTGTCTCTGCTCACTAATAGATTACGATTGAGGGCGGTCAAGTTTGGATTGTTGCGGTGCTTGTTCCAGGCTGTTTCAAATTGTAGACCTTTGCATCTGTGCTCACAGAGAATAAAGAAAAGGATTAGGGTCACGGGGAAAAAAGATTTTAGAAAATTATCGAGATTTCCACGGTGGCTTACTGCTGAAGCATGATTAGTAGATTAAGAATACCAGTTCGAATGTCTTCACGTGCCTTTCTCAGTGCCGCTTCTTTGTATAATACAACAAGTTCATCTACCAATCTGGAAAAAAAAAGGATATGAAAAGATTGAAAACCATTATAGTAAAGTCTATTGAACAATTTACAGTGATTGAGTGTTTAATTAAAAGAATCCTTGAAATGGAGTTCACAATGAACAGCGAGTAGAAGGAAGATGATAATAACAAGTTTTAATAGAAACAACTTTGTACGAAGAATCAGAGCAGGTTTATAGGACTTTTTATCATTCATAGAAAGACTTCAAATGATTGAAATTCCTAAAACAAGGCAGAATTAAGAAAATCTACATTCTATTTCACTTTCTCTAAGACCATTTGAATCATCACTAAGCATTGTGTTATTACTAACCGTTTAAAATGCCACTAAAAATGATTAAACAAACCAAAATTCCTTTCCATTGAACAAGTCAACCACCTAACCATAAATCAAATGCAAACCCAGTGTATATGTACTTAGTTTACCTTTCAAAGTATGGTGACTTCCGTATCCATGTTAAGCAGACAATTGTATGAAGTTGTTTGAGAACCTACAGAACAATGAGACTTTAATAGGAAGATTTGTTCTCCTAAACTTTTGAACCCGGAATAAAACTAAAATTTGATGAGTAAGAAGATACAATAATCTTACCAGTAGAACTGTTTCATCATCATCAACATGCAGCCACTGGAAGAGCAGTAGGAAAATACGCCCAAAATGGACTAATAACAAGAGGCCCATAGAGTTGAAGATTGGCTCAATAAACTTAAGCCATGCAATACGTCGTTCTCTATTCCCTGGTTGTCTCTCCAAATGGCTCAACATCTCGGTCAGGATCTTCTCAAACCTATATAAAAATCAAATGAAAAATAAAGAACTAGCCAGCAGTACGTCCACTACCACTGCAATAAAACTATGAAGTATACACCTGAGATATGAATGAAGTAAAACCAGCTACAAGTATCAAGAAACAACCATCCAAACAAGCAGACTAAGAAAAGTCAGAAATTGATCAAAAGCAGCAACTAATCTTCTGAAATGAAAAACTTAATAACTAAGATCAAGCGTATAGCCTCATGAGTCATGCCCAAATCTGAAAGTCCCTTCTTGCAATCCAATTGGCCAATTGATAAAACTCCATAAAATTTTCTCCCTAATGCCTGTATTAAGACGTTTGAGTCCACAGTTATTCACTACACCATTATAGTGCACAAAGTTTTCCCTACCACGAGATAATAACAACTTGCTAAACTTATTCAATGAACATAATCAAGATGTTGAGGAGACAAAGGAAGCAAGTATACTATCATAATATGAGATAGGGGAATATCTAGCATCATGACCATACCATAATCAACAAACACAATCAAGATGCCCAAGAGATGAAGAAAACAAATATTCCATACCAAACTTAGTTAACAAACACAATCAATATGCTAAAGAGATGAAGAAATAATTATACTACAAGCTACAGGGGTTATCATGCATCATTGAAGCATACAAAATTTAGTTATCAATCACATTCAAGAAGCTTAAGAGAAGAAAAAAACAAGTATACCACTAGCTACAGGGATTATTTTCCATCATAAGAGCACTCTAAACTTAGTTAATAAACGCAATCAAGGTGCTAAAGAGATGAAAAAACAAGTATTATCACAAACTATGGGGATTATCATGAATAGTGAGAGCAAGCTGAACTTATTTTAACAAAAACAATCAAGTAACTTAAGAGACGAAGGAAACAACCATACCATGAGCTACATGGACTATCGTGCATCATAAGAGTATGCCAAACTTAGTTAATAAACACAATCAAAATGCTAAAAGGACAAAGAAAATGACAATACTGCGAACTAAAGGGATTATAAAGATTATCTTGCTTAATAAGAGCATACTAAACTTAATACATACGATCAAGGCATTAAAGAGACTAAGAAAGCAAGTATACCACAGACTACGGGGATCATCTCTTTGAATGCAAGTAACAAGTAAAACCGACATCTCTACAACATACTGCCATATCTCATCAGCAGAAGCAATGTTCTGGCAGCAAGCATCAAGAATCACGTCTCCATACCAATCAAGAGCCCCTGCTTTCACATTTCTTGCTACATATATAAAGCTAATCATCCCCTGCCCCTAAACATAATCAATGCCAATAAAAAAGGAACATAATTCTTAATCTCAAGAATAATATAATCACTTAAATATTAAAATTACAAAGTTGCTTACTTTCACCTCCGGCGACCAGTGATCAAGACAAGTTAGTGCACAAGGAATAACCAAATTTACCATTTTATCTAAATCCGGATACTCAATCTACAAAAAAGAGAGATTATAAATGTTGATTTTCATTTTAAATAAAAGAAAAGAAATATAATTTCTGAGAAAAATAAACTTATAATTTATAAAATACCTTAGAAACAAACCATCTAAATTGATAAGCAGACAAAATGGCGAAATCTAAGGGAGCCCTAGCGGACGCGGCGGAAAATTCATCCGCTTCATCACTCTTGTCGATGGAGCTCTCATTAATCTTGTCCTTCAAAACTGGCACGATTTCAAGCATTAATTCCGCCGCCAAATTTCGCTTCTCGCCGCCCGGAACGTTGTAAGCTTTTGAAAGATCGGAAAAGGCGGTTTCTGCGGCGGTCGAAAGGTGGCCTGGGATCCATGTGAGAAGCTCGTGAGTGGAGGAGCGAGAAGCGGAGAGCAATGCGCAACCTAAGGCGAAGTCTTTGAGTGATGATTCTGTTGAGAGAAGAGACTCGAGCGTTGATTTTGTTGAGATTCTGGAGGTTTCGTGAGGAGTATATGGCGTTTTCAAGAGCAAGTTGAGGATTTGCTTCGTTAATCTGCAAAAAAATAATATGGTAGTGAAAATATTTAAATTAAATGAAAAAAGAGAGCAAAAAGAGAAGGAAAAAAGCTTACTGAGAGAGATGGCTATGGAAATCGGGGAGTGAGTTCGTCATTTTCCGACTCGGTTGGAAACACGTACAATGTCGGTTCCAGGTCTCGGCGGCATACCGATGTTATCATTTATTTCGTTCTCTGGTTTAAATATTTAATATTTTAAAATTTTAAAATTAAGTGTTCGCTTTTAATCTTTAAATTTTAAAAAATAATAATCATTTATATTGTTAGTTTAAAACATTTTAAAACATCATCCTCGATGATCTTTGAAAGTGAATTTAATGTTTATTTTATTAAAAAAAATCAAAAATCTTATCTGAAATTTTAATCAACTACATATTCAAAAAGACATCTCACTACTAATAAATTATAATTCAAGGGACCAAACTAATATGGAATTAAAGTAAACGATCACATCTCAAATTTTCACACCTTAGACTTGGAGGTACTAAAACCATAATTAGACCTTTATTTTATTCATTTGATGATTATAGTATTTTGACATAAAATAAGGTGTATATTTCAAAATTTTATATAACGGATATAAATGCTTAAAATTATTGAAACGAAGGAGTTTTAATGTATATATATCTCGTATTAAAATACTTAAATACAAATCATAGATAATTTTTTTATTCTATATAAATTGTCGAATTCAATTTATTTATATAAACTGCTCGGATGACCATTTTATTATTAAAAAGGATTTTTTATAACTGAAATAAAATAAAATAAATACATAAATAATAATTTGCACCGAGACAATCTGAATTTGATAAAACCTTGAAAGAGTTGTATTACAATATTCACTTCTACATAGATCAAACAAATACCATGCTTAACTGCAGATTAATGTCCGAAAGCGAACAGAGAGGAACCGGAGTTCTTTTTTCCCGGTTCCATCCCGAGCATAAAATCTGAGAGATCGACAAGAAATCACACCGGCAAATACGGGAAAAAAAGGAGAACATTCGAAGGTATTCAAGCCTCGGGAATAGATGCAGCTGCACGCTTAATTGATGCGGATTTGATAAGATGGTTGTAGCTTCCTTTCTCCTTGAAGAGCTGGGAAAAGTGATGTTTGCAATACAGGATGCCTTCAAGTGCTGCATAATTTGATGGACTTAAAGAGCAGCCACCATGAGAGCACTTGAAACATGATTTGTCGTAAGACTGTCCTTCCACAGTTACCTGTCGAAAAATTGGGACAAAGATAAAGATGATGAATCTAGCACATTAATACGCATTTCGATTATGTCAAGAGCCAGATAAAGTTACAGAAGTAAAGATCAAAAAATGCATAAGACGGTAGTTTCAAGAAAATATCAATAATATGACCTCTTCATAACACCTTCCTTCGACTTATGTGATGCTCAAGTGTTCATAGACAGATAAAAACCAATCAAATTGCCAATAATAACTAGGTTAGTCGGATTTGTAAAGAAACAATGAATCACTTATTGCGTGACGATATTACTAATCTTATCGGAGAAGTTGATTACACCATATGGAACTAGGACAACACGAAATATAATTATACCCTCTTGTTCAAAAGAGATGACCCTCCAAATGCATGAAAAAATTGAACGCAGTATTATCGGACATATAATCATATCCGACACTTAAAGTTCGAATAACATAGGACAGATAGCATCTCACCCAATATATATATATATATACTTATTGGGACCTTGGAACTCTACCTTCTCAAGTGGATATGCAGTTTTGCCACAAGTAGCACATTTTTCGACCGTCCCAGAAAACATGCTGGCAGCTTTGCTCGGTGATCTCATCTGCAATCAAAACAGGCTATTAGGAAATAGGAAGCACATCAAACAACCTATCAAACCCTATAATTTCACTAAAATCATGTGTATTTTTGCATCAGAAACTTACCGGCTCGGGAGTTAACTTCTCAGCTGTCTTTGCAGCTGCTGACAATAAGATTAATGGCATATTAAACCAACATAGTGAAATTCTTAAGGAATCAGACAAATGATTTTATCTGGCAAGATCGAAGATACAAACGTGACTGGAAATTCTTGTTGAAGTTACCCGTCTCCTTGAAGAGTTGCTCGAAATGAGGCTTGCAATAAAGAACACCTTCCATTGAGGAGTAATTAGCCAACTGGAGATATATACTATATGCCAAGTTAGAAGCAGAAACTTTATTACAATCCAATCAATAAAGTCAGTCAATACATAAACTATCATGTCAACAACTCACGTTCACCAAGCCTCGAACAACACAAATTCTCTCTAAAAATGTATTAAGACAGAAAATTCTATTGTATAGACCGTGTTATGAAAGCAGTAATGTCTAGGCATTCCTTAGTACATCTTTGAAGTACCCATATGCAACACATTTGAACAATGATTATAAGGCTATGACCCTCCAAATATATAGGAAAACATACCCATACTGAAAAAATACCTATGTCGAATACTCACACTAGAGTCCTAGGTAACATAACCAGAAGCTACTACTAAATGCAATAAATGGCAAAACAGATACACAGTGTCTCATTTGCTTTAAACCTAGTCAATGTACAAAACAAGCATGTCCACTAAATTTTCATCTACCTACGAATGATCAAAAAGCATTGTGGAACCATAAACTCACCCAAATCCGAGTAACATAAGTAAAATTAAAAGGTACTAAATGTAATAAATGTCAACTATTTTTCCATCTACATCAACAAATGGTCAGAAAATGCTCGAATGGCGATTGCAAAACCACATAATGACACCCAAATCCGAGTAACATAAGTAAAAGCTACTAAATGTAAAAAATGGCAATGTGTACAAAACAAGCAATGCCAACTCTTTTTTAATCAATATCAACGAATGGTCAGAAACTATCGAAGGCAATCAATAAAAAGCAAACCTTTAGAGTCCCTTTGCAATGACTGCACTTGAAGCAAGATTTATGGTAAGGAACTCCATCTGCAGACAATAGTTCCACCGGATAAACGGTCTTTTCACAAGCCTTGCATTTCTGTTGGGTACCAGTAAACGACATGGCTCTTTAGATCGAATCGTAATGCTCTTTATCGGATTCCACAGATCAGCTTTAATTCAATTTCTTCTCTTATATGTGGCAATATTAACTGCTTTAAAAAAAGAAGCAAAACACACATGTCAGAATCAGATCATGTCAAATTCAACAACATTTGTTACAAATTTTAGAACTTTGAATAATTTTATTTTTCATTGATGGCAACACATAAAGCCATCATTTCCTAGCTAAACTCTTCATTGTTCATAGAAACTCTGTTCAACACATACATGGCTATTGGAATAGATAAAAAATAAATTCGAAAACAAATGAATAAATGCGAATCTACAAAGGTAAGCCTTTTACATTCTTTTTTAGCAGTAAAAGCAAAAATAAATAAAACATAATCTCAGACAATGAATAAACTTTGATTCATTCTAAAAACCCCGGACTGGGGAAACAAAAATCCAAAGCAAAACCCAGTAAGCGGATCTAATTTGAAATAAACTAAAAACCCAAAAAATGATGAAAAGATGGTGTGATACAGCAAAGCAAGGTTTGAGATTGAAACTTGAAAATGGAAGAAAAATGTACCTTTGATAGAAGAAGAGGGCTGGATCTATGAAGGAAAAAAGAGATCAAAATCAAATGAGAATTAGAGAAATGGAGTAAAAGAGGTTTTGTGGGCTTCCCGATGTGAAAGAGAAATACAAAGGAAGCGGGAGAATTGGGATTTTTGCAGCGAATAGATAGAGTAAAACGTGGATGATGATGATGATGATTACGGAAGAGAGAATTAGACAAGAGATTGTATCGAAGAATTATGTTGGTGCTTCACTAGTAAGGAATTTGTTACTGGGATAAATTACAAATTTACTCGTTTAACTTTATTCTCTCCTATTTCATTTACCATATTTTTAATCTTTTCAATTTAATCATCAAATTTTATATATTGGATTTTTTTTGTCACTAGACCGTTTTCTCACAAATAACGTGATTACGTGGATTAATTTATTATTAAAACCAAACACTTTCAATTCTTTCTCTTTTCTTTTTTCCCCATTAAACAACACAAGTCGAGGGTGAAAATATGAGATTGATTGAAAAATAAGGTTCCACCAAGAGCAACGATGCATAGCCTTGAACAATGTACAAGACGATTCCGGGAACAACATGATTTTAAGTAGCAGTTGGTGCAAAGGTTGCACCAGTCTTCTGTACACAAAAAAGAAGATGTTGCTGGGACTGAAGAAACCCAGACTCCAATGCAGATTCAAGAGAAACCAATAAAAGATGGGATTCAAGCTGAAATGGAAAGGGAGGAATGCCACAAACTCAGGTAGAGAAAGAGAATGGTACATGTGAGAAACAACCAAAACACATGGAAACTGACACTAGGAGCTAACGGGGGAGTAGAGAAATAGAATCCAAATGGAGCAATCTCTATATCCTCAGAAGAAGCCAAAGAGAAACAATAAGGTTTAAATGTAGACAAGACAGTAGATGCGGAGATAATCGAAAATGGTAAGGTTAAAGAAAGTGGGCGCGTTACTTAATACCATGCAACCTAGAGGAGCTGCTAAATAAACTAATATTCTAGTTGTATTTGCATGTGTAATATCTGTGACTCCATAGATGACTGTAACATTAATGATGTTTCTGCCAGATTTGGTTGTCACTGAAGCATGATTCTGTCATGGTACTCCTACTTTCTTCTTCCTCTTAGGGCTCATTTCATTAGCATGACACAAACCTTTAATAGTTTCAGCGTAGTCTATGGATCAGCATGTGTTCATTTTTTACTTTGATAAAGCAAAGAAATTGCTTCCATTTCAGCTTTGACATGCACTTGCAAGGCTTTTCTCAAGCTGTGAAACTTGCGCAATGAATACGTCGAAGGAGAGTAAAATGATGGTCAAAGCAGGTTTTTCGGGTGCTTTTACCGGCTGTGGGGTCTTTAAAAGACTAATAAATCTAACGAAGGGGTGATAAAAGAAATTCAAAGTATAGAGTTTAGTGATTAGATTAAAAATATTAAATTAAATTGAATAAAATAGATAGGAGAATTAAGCTCAATGAGTAAATTTATAATTTATCTTTGTTATTATAATA